AAAAAAAAATCATTTTTCAAGCACTCAGTCATGCATTTACAAGGTCACTGCAGCATCATGATGTGTCTGATTGAATTTGTGCATTAGAGCCAATTATACGATCATGGTATCGCTTTCATTGTTGCTTTGCGGTTCTAAAAGCACAGATTGATTTGAAAATTCTTCTTGTGCGGTGCATTTACGTTGTGAGAGATGTGAGCAAGGTGCTGAGCAATGCTGTGTTATGCACTGTGGTTTTAGAAAAGGAGGAGAATGAATACAGTCCAACATCATAATAAGGATTTTTTTGCATGTATTTTGCTGTTGTGGAAAAAATGCATATGTCAGTGCACATGGTTATATAATCGCACATTTTCTACAGTGTGTCTGCATTAAAAGGTGGCTCGTTAAAAATGAATGGCTGGTTTATTGAAGGTGTCCACCGGTCGACCACATAAACCCACGATTATTATTATGATTGTAGCCACAAGGGTAAAAGTTCATTTGTGGTCTTTAAAACCAAAGATGTTTTGATTCTGAGCTACACAATAGAAAGAAGTGCAAAAGTAAGTTGCATACACGTAAAAGCAATAATTGAAATTAGGTAGAGCAGGAGGGATGGGAAGATTAAAGACGGAGAGGAAGGAAAGAGTGATGCTGGCAGGGGGTTGGAGAGGGGGGAGAGGAGGTGGAGGTTGCGGGGGAGGGAGGGAGGTCTTCTCCCTTTCTATCCCTGTGGTGCACATTTCACTCTTATTCGTCTGTCACTCCTCCCCTTTCTCTGCTCTTTTTTTTTTTCTTCTTCTTTTTTCTCTGCAACTGAGAGATTGATTATTAGCGAGGTGGGTGTGTTTGTATGTGCGCCTGCATGTGCGATCTGCACTACCCCCTTGAGAAGGAGAGCGCTGTTGCAGAAGAACGGGAAAATCCAAGGTCATCACGGCACGCTTTCCTCTGACGTTGCCTTTCAGCCCCCTTTTTGTGCGCAAGTGTGTAAACGCCTGTGTGTGTGTCTGCATGGCACGGAGGGTGTGCGTGTAATTCATAGCATCAAGCTCTGCACCAATCACGGTGCACATTCATATGCCTTTTAGCTCCAAGCACACGTGCAGGCATTTATCCCAGAGTGAGCGCTGAGTGCGGTTGTGTGCATTTTCAGTGCCTGTAGGCACAGCAGTGTGTCTGTATGAGGAGCTGAAGCTGCATTAAGGAAACATAAGCGTCTGTTGTGAGAGACTCCCACATCACGATCGATGTACGGTAAGAATATCAATCATTTTTGGCATTGTGTCTTGGTGTGTGTGTGTTCTAGATTGTGTAAGCATGTGAGCAATGTGAAGCATCCAGCGTTAAGCCAGTTTTCCTTCATTCTGTGAACATGTTTCCTTGCTGGCTTTCTTGCAATAGATTGCAGCTGTCACTAGAGTATAGCGTCTTCTGAAAGTGCGTTGTGGGAAGTTGGATTCTTATGAGGATACTCCCTGCTACATTACAGTATTAGATTACAAGAGGACCCGCTTTGAAGATGTTTATCTTTGGTAATAGACACTCATTTGCTCTAAGTTTGTGTTGCTTCCTTCTGTTGTGGTTGAGATGGTACGATTGTGTTCTTGTGCTAACTGTTGCTAACTTAAGCTGATAGACTCTGAGATGTTGTCAGGCTCAGTGTATACATTACATTTCCTTGTCATTATGGTAATTATTTTCACAAACCTTTATTTTTGTAGATGCTAAATTCATGTTTCCTGTGAGACAGGCAAAGTATATGTGGTGTTGAAAATGAAAATGTTCAATACTTTCTGGTCGTGACAAAATGCCCTTTGTAAATGTTGTCATTTACCGTAGCCCTCGTGTCACAGGGGCATGCTGATATATAGCTCATTGATTAGTGCTAATTAAAGATGCAGTCAGCTTTGCTTTGAGATCGTGGACTATCGATGGAAAAAGACAGAGAAGAGACAGACTCAGTTTGGCTTTTTTGTGCGGTGCACTACACGTATAGAAATGGAGCGCTGGGCTTGAGTCCCTCGTAGCCCTGTTTCAGTGCCTGTTTGACAGTGATTCATAGTGTGTCGGATTGGCCTTGTGTCATGAGGATTTGTTGGCAGCTGGGTCTGGACATCAGTGTCTTGGTTGCATTATATCAGCCGTGTTCGCTGCCACCGCACTTGATCGACTGTGCGCTTTGAATCTGACTCAGTGTTCATGGATTAATTGGCCGAAAAAAAAGATGTATGTACAGTACATGTGCCTCTGAGTTATTCTGTACACAGGGTATGTGTGTGTCTGTACCCTCAAGATACCCTTTTTAATAGGCAGGCCTCGCTGTGACAGAGATAAGGCAGGATAGATGGTGGTTATATATGCAGCACATTTGAATATCTGTCATTCTCTGCTTGCCTTAGTGACACAAAAAATAAAAAATAAAAAATCACATTTCTTACTCCATGTCACGCTTCCCCTAATGCTGTCAGCCTCTTCTCCATGATACTCACCTCCCCTCCTCATCCGCTGTACAGCTCTCCCAAACTCACTGAGCGGCAGCTTATGTGCATTTTGGTTGGCTGTTGAATCAGCCTGGCTCATTATTTGTTATTTGCCTACACTCTCCTCCTCGCTTCTTGTCTCGTCCTCGCTCCGTGTTTGTTGATTCTGCTGTGTGCTTGCATTTCACCGTGTGAATCCACAGTTTAAAGATGTTTGCGGATGTAAAAATAGCAGGACTTTGTCTCTCTTCTCCCCCCTCTCTCCCTCTTATGTAATGACACCCCTGAAGGGCAACATGCTTCTTAACCATCTTTGACAGGTATATGTATCTACAGCAAGATGGTGACTGCAGAATAACAATGTGTGCGTACTTTGTTTGCTTCTGTATGTTTGTGTACGCGCCTGTGTGTGCGGCCTGCAACACAGCGCTTCGTATGACCTCAGGTGAAGGTGAGGTCTGAACGAATACTGACAGCTCGGTGTCTTTTTCTCACAAATATAGACACACTCACACACAGGGATCCCAAATCTGTTTAATATTGTCTTTGCAGGCTGTCGCGACTATATT